AGAAGGGCCCCGTGGGGAGAGGTGCACAGTGAGGAGAAGTGCCTGTGCAAAAGGAGTGCCCTCGTGCGCCCCAGCTCCTTTCTCTCTTCTCTTCGAAGACAGATGTCTGTAGTCTTATTGTGGGATGTTTTTAGTTTAATTATATTTAAAATTACGTTATTTAAGAACATTAAGTAGAGTGCTAAAATAAGGTGTGGTTTTTTTTGTTTTTTTTTTTTAAGTGTGTCAGATACAGGGGTGGATAGCCCAGAAAGTCACCCAGGAAGTAAAATTTAAATCAGTTGGCACTCTTCCATACCTTCTCTATATGCCGTCGGTATTTGCACAAGAAATGTATTAAGAATGTCAAGTTCCTACTGGGTTATTTCTATCAGTTCTTCAGCCTCTCTAGCAAACCCATTGGAGCAAAGGATTTAACAGCTGGGTGGCTCATATGGCCTTTCTACACAATACCTCCTCTTTCTTGTTTTGTTTTTTCTTTCCAGACTCCTAAAGAAGCAGGGTTCACCTCTTCAAAGCCCAAGGGGTCTTTGCCCCCCTTTGTGCAGGGGCAGCGCCTTGTTAACAGGAAGCGAATTCCTCTTGTCAGACAGTCTTCTGTGCATTGTTCCCTGCGGAAAGGTCAGTGCTGGGTCTCCCTGGTAACTGAATATTCCCAGAGCATGGCAACAGCCCCCGGGTCTCCATATGTAGTGTGTTCAAGTCAGATCTGGTTTCCCCTTTGGTGGTTCCAGGGCCTTTGTATTTGGATCTGAAATCCTCCCAGCTTTGTCCCCCGATATTTTAAATGGCATTACTTGCACGCCATATTGGTGATACTTAAAAGCAGGCTGGAAAAGATCCAATATCTCATGAGCACGTCTTCATTGTCAGGTCCCTTGAATGACTTCTTAAATGTGTGCGCTGTGCACCTTAATGACAGGTATATGATATCAGCGTGCTACCAACCAAGACATTTTCATTTTCCATATGCATTACTTGTGGGGGGAAATGAATTTGACCATGACCTTTGCTGGCCTCCCCTTAGCAACATATATAGCGATTGCTTAGTGTAGTGCCTGGCATGCAGTATGCCTCCAAGCGGTGGTAGCTGCTGTTCATCACTGCTGAACTGGGCTTGCCAGGCCTTGCTCAAAGGCTCCTGCTCACCTCTTAGCTATTCCTTTTCCTCAGGCTCCAGTGACTCTGTTGTAAGTTCCCTTTTGCCCCTTCTCTCCGGAGCTGATGGGGCAACAACCATGTCTTAGTGTCTCCCCAGGGCCTTGCATGTAGCAGGAGCCCCCCGTTTCCTGGTTTTCACTTAGGCCCTTGATCACCATTGACTGGCTTTCCGCGTGGCCATACTTATGTCTGCTCAGCATCCTTCCTCTGAGAGACCACTTTCCCTCCTTCCTGTAGGAGTCTTGCAGCGTTCTCAGGAGGCTGGGAGGGCACAAGACCTGAGCCAGATCTGACAGTGGGGGTTAGGATGACCTTCTCTGTTGCTATGGTGAGCTGTGAGGTCAGTGTGGGCCTGGGGCTGTCACCATGGAGACACATGGAGCAAGCCAAGCCAAGAGGTCTTGGTAGTGTCGTCTCAACTCCTGAATCCAGCCACCTAGTGAAGGCCGAGGTCCCCTAGGTAAGGACTGAGCTCTGGAGCCAGCTGCCTGGCTGGCCTTCACTGCTGGTCTGTATCATTGGCCCTTTCAACCTTGGGAAAGCCACTTACTCTCTTTTTTGCCTTAGTTTCCTCACTTGCAAAATGGGACTGAGGATAGTGCCTACCTCCTAGGATTGGAAAGTTAACAGTATTAACACATGCAAAGTACTTAGAGCAGTGCCTGGCCTGTGGGAAGCTCTGTTTCAATCATTGTTGTTATCCATTGTTAAGACTACACAGATATCTCAGCAAAAAAAAAAAAAGATTTTTCCCCCTCAAATTAACGCTAATTAGAATTGTTTCCTGCACTTGCAACCCTGAGGCCAGACCGATGCAGCAGCACTCCTCTCTCCTTGTGCCCCTCTGGACTTCGAGCACCTGCAGAAATGGGTTCATACATACAAAGCCCTTAGAAAAGCACCAGCATAAGGAACATGCTCATAGATGTTAGTATCTCTCACTGGGACACTGGCCTTCATTCAAGAAGCCAGTTTTTAAAACTCCCTTTAGTCATATAAATAACTATGGTTCTCAAACACGTTCAAATGGTAGAGCATCGGACACTTCTGTGGATCATCCTAGAATACAGATCAATTAAGGGAAAAAAACAACCACGTGCTATAAAAGTCGATGCCAACTCCCATAGCATCTAAATTAGAATTGCACAGCCGGGACCAGTTTGGCTCAGTGGATAGAGCGTTGGCCTGCGGACTGAAAGGTCCCAGGTTCGATTCCGGGCAAGGGCATGTACCTTGGTTGCAGGCACATCCCTGGTGGAGGGTGTGCAAGAGGCAGCTGATCGATGGTTCTCTCTCATCGATGTTTCTAACTCTCCCTCTCTCTTCCTCTCTGAAAAATCAATAAAATATATTTAAATAAATAAATAAATAAATTAGAATTGCATAGTAACAAGTGCCAAGAGGGTTAACTTTTATGCAGAAACCCCTTAATGCGGAGACAACTATTACCTTAACTCCCCTGACACCAGGAGAGAGTGCCGTTTCCGTTAGCTATGAGATGTCTCTGCTCGGTTCCCCGTGGCTGGAGCAGGGCCATCCTGTCAGGTTTCCATTAGTGCCTGATGCAAACTTGCTGGCAGATGCCAAGAGCAGTGCTGTGGGGAAGCCACCGGGAAACTGAGGCTCTCCCCGCCTTTGATCTCCAATGGAGAAACCCAATCTACACACTACCACCGGCCTCCGGGGAGACGGCCTGGTGTCACCAGGTGGGCAGAGCGGCAAAAGTAGGATTTCAGCGGCTCACAGTACCCACTCTGTGGCCAAACAAAGGCCTCGTCTTCCAAGCTGTGTCTGACCTCTCAACTCTGACATATGTATTTACCCAGCAATTACAGCTTGCACTCCCGCAGGGACAGCTTGATTGCTTCTATCAAAGGGAATAAATTAAAGCTCGCCTGGATCCCATAGCAAAAAGTAGCTCCGGGAGTCTCGCACTCAAACAAAGCTGCTCATTCACCAGCACATCCGCTTCCCCAGGAGCCATCGCGGCTTTGTAACCAACACAGGATGCTCCAAGCCCAAATTACAGGAGTTCACAAACCTAATGATAAGGGGGCTGAGCAAGCCCTGCGCTCCTTTCACTGTTAAGGACACGGTAGAATAACTAAGACGCTGGGGAGTTGCTATTCTGACTTATTTTTAGCATCACTTGAGACAGAAATCTGCTGAGAAAACCTGGAGGTACCATTTTCCAGTTGTATAATCTAGTCTAGTGCAAAGCCCCCGATTAAGCTGACTTGACAGTTTCAAAAAAAACCAGAACTACCTAGAGAGATTCAGAGATGGAAACTTGAGGAATATTAACTTTCAGTACATTTGGGGCCACATAAACCCCATCTACCCTCATACACAGGGCAGCAGTGGGAACAGGTAAAAGCACTGGGGAACGTGTGGCTGTGTCTGTCAAAGCGGAGACACACCCGGTGACTGAGCAGTGCCATGCCCAGGCATGCCCTGGGCAGAAAGAGCACACACGGCCAGGAGACAGATGCCCATTTCCTCAGAAACCCAGCCACCCTGCAAACAGCCAGCATCTCAACATAGAGGGGTGGGACTGTACAGTACAAAGACAGCATCAAAGCAACGTGGATGGACCCCGGGAATGCTGAGAGAGGCAGGACACCAAGGGCCCATTGCCCTATGGCACTGGTTGGCAAACTGCGGCTTGCAAGCCACATGCAGCTCTTTGGCCCCTTGAGTGTGGCTCTTCCACAAAATACGATACCATGGCCTGGGTGAGTCTATTTTGAAGAAGTGGCGTTAGAAATTTAAAAAATGTGGCTCTCAAAAGAAATTCCAATCGTTGTGCTGTTGATATTTGGCTCTGTTGACGAATGAGTTTGCCGACCACTGCCCTATGCCACCATTCACAGATAGCTCACGCTGACATGGTAAGAATACAAATAAATAGCCCATGTCTTAGATGTGGCACAGGTGTGTGCACAGTGTTGTCCATTTAGGTTTTTACACATTTCTGTATGTATGCTTCAGTAGAAAGTTTACATTGAGAAGTGGACCGTATGATTGGACCAGTGTCTTGAGAAATGGTTACACGTTAACTGGGAACTGGAGGATCCCCTCAGAACGGAAATGGGTCTCTGCATTAAGCATGCTGCCCCTTTGCCCGGTCACTGTGGCTCCTCTCGCTGCAGCCCAGGCACTTGGAGAGCCACGTGCCGGAAAAGCGAGGTGTCGGGGGATGGGCCTCCCTGCAGCCAGCGCCACAGTCCATGGTAAACCGCGGCGGGAACATTTCAATACCTCCTACCTACAGATGCCTGTGCACGTCACTTTAATTTCACTGTCATCTCAGGCAGCCTAACGGACAGAAACCCTGCAGCTCATGAGTATAGGCTGCCTGCCCGAGGGGCTGCTGGCTAAGAACCAAAGCCAGACTCATGGTCACGTCTCACCGTGGTTCCGTGGACTGCTCTGAGCCCGTTACTGCCCACTGCCTCCCCTATGGGGAGGGGTGGGGGGAAGAGTCTGCAGGTGCAAGTGGGTGGGTGAGGTGGCAGGAGGAAGAGAAAGACGCCCCAATACAGCAAGTCGGTAAGAAAGACCTTTCAAGAATCAATCCAGGGGCCTTAACCTAACACCCTCTGTCCCCACCCCTTGCCCCAGGCGGGAGGCCTCACTCCCTTTCTGGTCGCCCACTACAACCATGCATGCCCCCCATGCTGCTTCACTACGCTTGCCTGAAGTGGCCTGGCCCCTCCCTACAGACAGTGCAGACCTACCCCAGGCACTCTGGGGCTGTCTCCTCCATCCTTGTGTGGAGAATGCTCTCAAGGACAGTGGGCAACAAGAACAGCAGGCACCGAGGCGACGGAGGGTTGAGGACAATATAGTTTATTTTCTCATGAAAGATCTACCAAAAATATATATTCTCTTATAAGAAAGCAAAATTTGAGTTGTTATTATTTATTACATGTTTTACAAACAGCAGTGAAAGGAAGAAATCAACAGAATGGACTCAATTTATTAAATATAAAAATGTTCACTTCAAAAGCTTGACCTTGTCCTTGAGTAACTTGAAGGCGGGGTTCTTGCTGACTTTCTTGTTGAAGATGGCCAGGAGCTCCTCTTCAGACCTGTGGTGTTCAGCTGTCACCGCGTAATACTGAGCTAAAACCTGCACAACGGAGGACGACTGTCAAATAAGGGTCACTGCCTTGAAAATTTACCTAAAATGTTCTTTAACCCAGAAGTAGAGCGACAGTAAGAAATAAAAGAAGCCAGGGGCTGGCTACACAGGACTGTGCCTCTGAAATCTGTGCAGCGCACATGTGAGCACCTGGCTGCATGTGGGTCAGACGTCGATAAAAACTAAGAACCAAAGAAGAAAGCACTGCTCTGGAATAATCGCAAACCATCTAGAATAATGATTTGAGAACCACCCATGCACTGCTCTGGCTGAGTGATGGGAGTCAGCCCCATTCTTTCCCCACGAGACAAGAGGGGTTACCAGGGCTTTGTGAGACACACACACATTTGACAGTATTTTAGGGGTTTTAAAATAAGGAACCAATTCTCCCCTCGTGGTGTACTAGGTTCGTGTGCATACCTTTTTCCTTAGCTTTTTGACTGCTATTTCATTGTCTGGGGCCTGCTTCAGGACCGCTTTAATAGTCCCCTTCCAATTGAATTTCCCTGCAATACAAAGAATAACATGCAAAACACGGTGTTTTGTCGTACTACCAGAAGGGAAAGGAAATGATTTCTGCACCATCTATGTGCTGCCCGGGAAAGCAAGGAATCCTGAATGGGCAGGTACCCGAACACCGTGGAGCAGGCACTTGGCCTGTCCAATCAGTGGCCTAAAAGCACCGCTACCCTGCAAACAGCCCACCATTCTTGTTCTGAGTGAGCAGGTTAACCAGGCAAGATTCATTAAGCATCCACGGAGATCATGGGGCTAAGCACAGTGAGCAAGACAAAGGTGAGCAAAAGAAGCTTGACCTTGAACAAGAGGGGACAGCCACAAACATCACTACACTTTAAAAAATTAAAGTTGGGTGGTGGGGTCCAAGCTAAGAGATCTAACCCAACTTGGGCAGTCACTGAACCTCCATCAATAAAGCCTCCGTTCCCATGAGTCCTTGGATCTCATAACTCGCAGGACCCCGGGGCTGCTTCGGGCCTGAGGAACAGGAGCAGCTTGTGTGGAGGAGGAGCCTGGAGAGGTGCCTCACAGGCCAGGGACTGGATTCTGACAAGGACATATGCCAGCAAGGTGGCACCAGGGACAGACCCAGAGATAAGAGGGGAACAGCCAGGTCTGGCTGGAAGACAGGAAGGGGACCAGGTCTGGGAAAGCACGCGGGTTTAAAATTTAAGACAATGCATATTTCCAATCCAGGTTGCTTTCCCCTTTGTCCTTAAAGCTAGACATACGCTTAGGCGTGACTGTCAGCCCTCGCTGGTTACTTCAGAGTCACTCACGCCCTAGAGAACTTGGCTCACCTCCTCCTCCCAACCCAGAGGGCAGAGCTTTCCAAATGACAGGAGCGCTACCTTTTGCAGGAGCTTCATGGTTTTCTGGTTCTCCGCCCTCAGCCAGTGCTGGGCACTTCATCTTCTTCTTCTTGGAATAAGCTTCAACTGAATAGAGATTTAAAAAAATATAGAGAGATTCTGCATTTCTGACATCTACACTTAATGCATCGTCCATGGCCAGCTCCTTCCTTCCATCATCTTCTTATCCCCCAAGCAACCCAGCCCGTGGGGTTTCTCCCCCGACAGTGGGGGAAGCCGAGAGTTGAGAGGTGAGGTCACGTGAGGTGAGGTCACGTGCCGGACTCTGCCCAGGTTGCCCTGACCCCACAGCTTGCTCTTTGTATTACTTAGTTCAAAATGCAAGCCCTAACAGATTTTATATACCCCAAATTTAGAGCATGGCCATTTTAACAAACCCTGTAGCATAGGACACACACCTTCAGAAAGCTTCCGCTTCCTCTTTCCCGCCTTGTCCACGTCTCCGTTCACTCCACACTCGCTCTTGTTCCCCTTGGCCTCGGGGGCACCCTCCCCTCCCGCCTCCTGCTCGGCCTCCAGTCTCAGTTTGCGCTTTTTAGACTTCTGACTCTTGGACTTCTCCTGGTGGTTTTCTAACTTTAGTTCCTTCTTTTCTTTTTTCCTTTTCTTCTGCCGCTCTTCCTTCCTTTCCCGCTTATTCTTCTTTGCCTCTGCTTGTCCTGACGCGGTGTCACTGGCTTTGGAAGGGGCCACTGTGGTGGTGATTTCCGCAGGTGGCTTTGCCACTGGGTTCAGTGGCTGGTGATCTTGCCCTTTACTGGCTGGTTCCTTTTTATGAAGCAAAACCAAAAAACACGTAAGTATTCCTTCCACACACACATGTTCACGACCTGCATGTATCTATTGAACACACTGTTCCAAGAAAAATGTCTTTATTACTTCCCATTTTAGAACTGTGATGCCCCCCCCCCAGTTAAAATGTAGCAGTAAATACATAAAATGAGAACTCCCCTAGCCCACACCCTCTCTGCATTTTTTTTAAACATTTTAGTTATTGATATTTTTAAAAAATATTTTTATTGATTTGAGAGAGGAAGGGAGAATGAGAGACAGAAACATCAATGATGAGAGAGAATCGTTAATCAGCTGCCCTCTGAGCACCCCCTGTTAGAGGCCGAGGCTGCACTCCGGGCACGTGCCCTTGGCCGGAGTCAAACCCAGGTTCCTTCGGTACACAGCCAATGCTCTATCCACTGAGCCAAACCAGCCAGGGCCACCTCTCCGCATTTAACAAGCATTTCATCCCACTGGAAAAGGAAAGAATCCTTAAATCACTTCCGCCAGACCTTTAATTATGGCTCAATTATGGCTCACAATTCACCTTGCTTTCCAATGAAGGTGAGCTCTCAGGTGGGGCAGAAACTAGGTTTATGTACCTGCAGGCCTGGGTTCGAGTTCCAGCTCTGCCCATTACCAGGTGACTCGGGGCAAGTTATTTACCTGCTCCAGACCCATCTCCACGTCTCTAGATGGGAGGCAGAAACCCTTCCTCATACTGTTCATGTACAGATAAAACAGGAAATGTCACCTGCTCAGTGCACCAGCCCAATGCACCAGAAGGGCTTTGTAAACGAGCAAGCGCCAGAGGCCTAATCAAACCGTCATTCAGACTAGGTGGCTTCTGAGAGACAGTCAGGAACCCTTGGGCAGTCAAGAATGGCGGCTAAGGAATCACGGAAAACTGACTACATGCGCTGGGATGGGGAGAACCTTCCACTCACTGCATCTCTTTTTTTTTTTTTTTTTTTAAATATATATTTTATTGATTTTGCACAGAGAGGAAGGGAGAGAGATACAGAGCTAGAAACATCGATGAGAGAGAGTCATCGATTGGCTGCCTCTTGCACACTCCCTACTGGGGATATGCCCGCAACCAAGGTACATGCCCTTGACCGGAATCGAACCCGGGACCTTTCAGTCCCCAAGCTGACGCTCTATCCATTGAGCCAAACCGGTCTCGGCTCACTGCATCTCTTATTCAAACCAGCACATAGATCATATTTTAATTTTTTAAAACGTTTTTATTGATTTCAGAGAGGAAGGGAGAGGGAGAAAGAGATGATGAGAGAGAATCATTGATCAGCTGCCTTCTGCATGCCCCACACTGGGGATCAAGCCTACAACCTGAGCATGTGCCCTGACCAGGAATCAAACCCGGGACTCTTCAGTATGCAGGCTGACACTCCAGCCACTGAGCCAAACTGTCTAAGGCTGGATCCTACTTTTAAATTAACTTCAGCACAGCTAGTCCCACTGTCTGCTGTACACCGTGACTCGAAATCTCTATGCCATCTCTGCCCACGAGCTGGCACAGAGCTACCTACTCAACTGCCACGTAGGAAGGTGCCTGTCAGGCAGCGAAAGGGCCAGTGGCAGCAGCTCCGGGAAATCCCGAGACTTGTGAGTCTGCAGACCGGGCCCAAGTTCCATCTGTGAGTTACCAGCCAGTTTACTCAACAATCACCTCCAGTCTTCCCCCTCCGGAGACTAGGTCACAAGAAGGGAGCTATTGTCCCCCAAGACACACCAAATAAAGGACTGGCTTTAACTCGAGTACAATACGAAGTCATGCCTCCCTCTGACATCCATGGTCACCCTCTGGCAGAAGAGTGCTAACTAAATTGGGGGTCTCTCGGTAGCAGTTCAGAGAAATAAAGGAGTCCAGGCACACGGAGTGGGGGGCAAACAGCAGAGAATGAGTTCAGATACACTCGGGAGGAAGGGGCAAAGAAGCTTCCCTCCTGCCCTGTAATTGTGTTCATACTACGTATCCGTTATTATCATCACCAAGGGCCCCAGATCTCAGCTGCCATCTGCCCAATCCAGACCAAGTCTCTAGCTGGGGCGGCAGGAGGCACACACCCTCGCACCAGTGCCGGTCAATTCATTCCGTCTTCTTTCTACTTCATCCCAGGCTCTCCTCCAATGTGGTCTCCTCAGCACCGCCCTCACTGGCTCTTACCTAACAGAGCACGCTGCTTTGCTCTCTGCCCCTCCTCCTGCCTTCTATTTCTTCCTAATACTTATCACAACCTGATATTATAGCAAAACCCACACACATAGTTGTCTGTCTCCCCCACGAGAATACAGCTGTATGAGGGCAGGACTGATTACAGCTGCATCCAGTGACCTGGTGTAAGTTGTGCTGGGTATAAAAAGTATCATGTAGAAGAGAAAGCCACCAACCTAATGCCCAGCACAGAGTAAAGGGAGGGATAAAATTGCAGGCATGAACAAACAGGGCCTTAGAACCCCATGCTTTGTACCAAACACTGGGATGTGCTGTGAAGTTCATGGGACACAGGTAAACCAATAATAAGCTCAGGTTACCACAAGCTGTTTACTATTATTAATTCCTAATATGTTCACAGCTTCAAAAGAACTTTAAAAAAACAAACAAAAACCTACAGTTGAGCTAAGTCATTTCCAATCTTTGATTTTTAGTAAAAATAAGGGCAATAACCTTTAAAAAATAACCACATGAAGGCCAATTCAATGATTGGTTATAAGGTTTCAAAGGCCCAATGTGTGTATTTTGACACAAATGCTAAATATACTGCCAAGATAAACTTTCATTTTTATCTTAATTTGCTGCCTAAACTACTCTCTCTATATAAAGCAAATCAACTATCTGCAATGCTACCAAAGTAAAAGACCAGCCAGACCCACTGTTGTCATTTCTTAAACTACTAATGATGTGCTCACTCCGGCAGCAAGCACACTAAGCTTGGAATGGTACAGAGAGCAGCATGGCCTGTGCAAGGAGGACACACAAATTCGTGAAGCGTCCATATTTAAAAAACTATTAAAGATATAACTCTCCAAATGGGATGTAAGCTCCCAAAAGGAAGAAAGTGCAACTGAATTAAGGTGATAAAACACTGTGGCTACACACTATCAAATCCAGACCCTCTGCACCTGTATCCACATCTGAGGACTCCCATTTCCAACCTTTTGACAGACAGTTGACTGACTTAAACCCAAAGAATTCTCCCTCCACTGGAAGACACAGTGCTTACCGAGTGCCCGCTAAAAGGTGGGCATAAGGTGGGTGCTTTTGTAGTCTCATCTACTTTAAAACCACAGCAGGTAAGGACCCTGTCTCCCCTTACCTAGAAGACCACCTAGGCACTCCGTCCTCACCTGCTTCTCTTCCTTCACGGCACTATCACCACCTGAGCTAGCTCAGTTTTGTTCATGGCCTGCCACGGATCAGGCATTCAGAAGTACTGAATGAATGAATGAATGAATGGATGAATGGAGATCCACTTTTTAAAGAAAAGGAAACTGAGGCTCACAAGGTAAGTAATGTGTCCAAGATCAAACACATGGCAGAGAGCAGCAGGGACTCAATCCAGGTCTGTCAGACACCCAGAGCTCCTATTCTTTCCGATATGCCCGCCGCCTGCTTTCTAAGCAAATCGTTCCATGTGAGCTGCTACCACTGTCAAACTCAGGGATTAAATACCTTTCTGTGCAAAGTAAGAACTCTCCTCTGTAAGACATTCAGTTATTCCTTCCCACAAATGCAGGCCCAAGAGGATCTCTGAAAGAGAAGGCTGGCCAAGACCGGTTTGGCTCAATGGATAGAGCGTCGGCTTGGGGACTGAAGGGTCCCGGGTTCGATTCCGGTCAAGGGCATGTACCTTGGTTGCAGGCATATTCCCAGTAGGGGGTGTGCAAGAGGCAGCTGATCGATGACTCTCTCTCATCGATGTTTCTAACTCTCTATCTCTCTCCCTTCCTCTCTGTACAAAATCAATAAAATATATTAAAAAAAAAAAAATGAAGAGAAGGCTGTCTTGACCTCCGAAAATAAGAATTCCCGCTGCATTATTACTAAGCATGTCTGCCACACTACAAATCTAAAATGAGATCTGACTTACATTGCTGGAAGCTTCAGAAAATATATTCCACACCTGCTCCAGAATCGATTCATTATGAACTTTTAAACTGTTCTTCATCCAATTCTATAAGGAAAAACAGGGAGGGAAGTCCCATTGAACAGTAAATACAGCTGTCCCTGATGGGCCCATGTCCGCAGTCAGGGGAGTCATATCAAACACATACCTGGAATTTTGCCTTTTTCCTGGGAATGTTGTCAAAACCACTAATTTGCTCTAAAAGTTCTCTCACTTTGGGGCTGACATTGGGTCTTTTTATTAATTCATTAACTTTCTACAAAAGAAAGACAAGACAAAAATAATAAACAACTGACACAGGGCTACAGAATCCACAGGTCAAATCCTGATTTTGTATTAATGTCTATTCTTATAAATTCAGCATAGTATTGGAAGCCCTGGCCAGTAGGTGAGAAGAAGAAATATAGGCATCTTAATTGGAAAGGAGTGAAATTATCTCTGTTCTCAGCCAACGTGGCCTTGTATGTGGAACACTACAGATTCTTCAAAAAGAATCGTTAGAACCAATAAACAAATTCAGGAGAACTGCACTCAAAAATCAAGCTGTTTCTACAAATGGACAATCTGAAAAGGAAACTAAGAACTTAACGGAGGAATGTGTGTGATACTGAGCTAAAAGTAAAGAACACTGCTAAAAGAAAGGAGGCACAGACAAATGGAACAGTTCACGGGCCGGGAGCCTTATTAAGATGTCAACACGACCCTTCGCCTAGCTACGGCGCGCTGTTTCTGGGCTTTGTCTGCATGGAGAGGTATTTATTCTTGGTTTCTTAGGCTTCCAAAGAAAAGTGGAAGTGTCAGCTGATTCACAACGTACCTGCACCCATGCCTGCTGCTTGATATCGCCTTTGTGGGCTTTCCCTTCGAAGCCTTTGCCGCCGTACTTTTGGTCTTCACTTATGCATTTCACATGGTTTTTATAGTCCTCGCCCCTGTGCGGTGACAGGTCCCACCGTTAGGTGCACTGTCAGCGGAGGCCGTGCGATGTCAGCACTGCTCCTGCCTCTGGCAGTCCATGCCCGCCCACTGCGCATGCCCCCGCCCCCCTTACTGCACTTACTGTGCTCACAACCTGCTGCATAAACACATTTTCCTAGCTCCAAAGTGTTCAACAGAAAACCCACCACCAAACTTCCCATGCATTTTTTCAACAACAGGAATATTGAATCATAATGTACAACTGAAACTAATTTGTTACATATCAATTCCCTTCCTCAGTCTTCTTTTTAAATCATCCAGACCAGGCAGATGAACTTTTAACCCACTTTTAATTTTTTTCAAAATTTCTTTCCTCAAATATGCCTCTTTTTTAAAATATAGTTTTGATTTCAGAGAGGAAGGTAAAGTGAGAGATAGAAACATCAATGATGAGAATCATTGTCCGGCTGCCTCGTGCACGCCCCCTACTGGGGATTGAGCCCGCAACCCGGGCATGTGCCCTTAATTGAAATGGAACTGGGACCGTTCAGTCGGCAGGCTGACGCTTTATTCACTGTGCCAAACCAGACAGGGCATGCAATTTTTTAAGGCTTTGAGGAAACAGTGCTTCTAAAACTGGCCTGGACCTTCCTATGGATACAGCAGTTACTTGGAACTTACCAGAAATCTTTACCACAGTCAATGCAGGAAAGGCATTCACAGTTCCTGCAAACAGCCACATGCTTTTCCACTTGTATTTTCTTCACTGATTCACCACACGCATTGCATGTAAAAAATACCATTTTTAGCTAAATGATTAAATATTCTCTATCCAAGATAGGCTTTAAATCTTGACCTAAAAAGATTAAAGGGAAAGGGGGAAAAAGATAATTATCATTATAACCTGAAACTTTTATTCCCAATAAATGATCTCACAGCTAACTTTTCAACCATAATTAGAGAGGTTAAGTAACTTGCCCAAGGTCACACAGCAGTAGAATCAGGATTTAAACGTGGCAGGCTGTCTCTAAGGATGAAGTTTGGGGGGCATTAAGTAAAATATCTTACATTTTCTAATAACTTTCTCTCTCCCTCTGTCCCTCCTTCCCTCTCTCACTCTTAGGTGTGCACTGCTAATTATCTCTTATCTCAGGTCCCCAAATCAGGAAGAGCATAATAGGGGGAGAGGGGGGATGAAGGGAGCTTTAGAGAGTCGAGAAGAGGCCTACAGATAATTTTTATAGGACACACAAACATCCCCATCGGCACTGCTGTGCATCCTCAGTGTTAACACAGGAGGAGGTGCCCTCAGGCTGAGCAGACGGGGTGAGGGGCCTCCTTCTGTGGCTCCTGTGGGATCGATAGAGAACGGAAGCTGCAGCTGTCCTAACTGCTGGGCACTGGGTCACTGGAGGGCGGTCACAGACCCTGGTGTCCCCGCACTGTGTCCACGTGACCTGCGTCTGCACAGATACATAACCATTTAAAAATTCATGGAGCTGCTACCATGCTCCAAAAACAAACCCGCCTGCAAGTGACAGAGCCCCAGTAACTTTCCATCTGAGAGGACTGTTTATATCTAAGCTACACAACACCCCGATTGAGAATTGCTGAACTGAACCTGGGACTTCCTTGCTCGCTATGAAAATTAAGGCAAAGTTCAAGTAAATGGGTGCAATGTGCTTCGGGACAAGACTTCTTCCCAAACCCTTCAGCACAAAGGCACGTCCTGGTTCCCAGGGCATGCTCGTGCCTGGGCCCTCTCCTCCACGCCCTGTGGTCACTGCCGGTCACTCCTGAGCAGAGATCAGGGCTGCTCACGCCCGCTCAGCCTTGAATGGAAATGTACATCCTGGCTGCAGCTCCAGGCTTCACAAAGGCCCAGCTGACCGCTCATGGAGGCCTCTGGCTCTCCCGGACAACAGCATGTCTGCTGGCTATGTGAAAACACCCTGGTCCCGGGCCCCTCCTCAGCTCGCCATCCGGGTCAGTGAGCAGGGAGGGCATGTGGTCAGCTACAGCCCGGCACTGAATCCAGAGGAAAGCAACACAGCTGTCCATTCTAGGATGTGCAGCAACCACTCCATCTTCTCACCTGGCTACGGTGACGACGTGTGACCCAGCTGCCCGCCTGGAGAGCTGGCATCAGGTGGACTGGGACGCAGCTCCCTCCGAGCTTGGCACTGTGCACACGCAGAGGGGTGCTCAGACGGGTGCTGCCTGCCCCTCAGGGAGAACAAGGGCTGGCACAAGAGCCAGCACCACCCACCAAATCAACAGTCTGGAGGGGCACTCCGTACAAGGACAAGGGCAAACCCTCAGCTCGGTTTGGGAAACAGAAGGCCGTTGTACACAGGCAGAAGCAGTGACAGCCACTATCTGCTGGAAATGTGTAAGTTCTTTCAGAATGAAGCTCCACAATGAGAACACACGCTCGGCGGGAAGCTATGGCCAAGGCTTTCCGGTCTTCCCTGCGGGGGTCTACTCTGTTTTCTTATCGCAGGGGAGGGGGTGGGGGGGACGGGGCTTCGGCAAGTGTGCGACCCCATTGGGAGGCTCGGGTGCAGAGTTAAAGGCCTGGGAAGGGCAAGTGGGAACAACCCGGCCGGACTGAAAGAAGCCAGTGACGGTGACAAAAAAGATGCTGGGAATAACTGTCATCTCTGAGGATGAGCCACACACAGCAAAAACGCCAGTCAGGAGGGGATTAGTCTGATCACGTGTCCTCCAGCCTCTTCCCTCGGGCTGTACCGCTAATGCCCGCACCTAGAGATGTGCTCTTGTCCTTTAAGGGCCGAGCGCGGGGCTGGCACAGTGAGTCAGAACCCTCGCTGCATTTTTACTCGATATGAAATGGGGACTGTGGCCACCTGCTTGCTAGGGAGATAAATGAGGCCTGCAGGGAGCTGATCCTCCCTTATTCAGAGCCAGACATCCCAGCACCGGCTGAGGGTCACCTCCATCAGGCCCCCCACTCCGGGAGGGGGGGGGGGGGACACACCTGTCATTATTCAGGAAGCACTTGTGTGTCTGTGTGTGGGGGGGAAGGGGGGGAGGGTTTCCAAGGAACAGAAAGCCGTCCTAACTGCACAGCAGACAGGAAGGAGGCCAAGGCTCGGTGCAGGCAAAACAATTTTGGAAGTGCAAATGTGACACTTACAAAAATACACCATGTGAAGTCAGTCCCTCCAACTGAAGATAGCAAGCATTGCCTAAAACAAGAAATTAAACTCATTAACATTTCACAAGAAATAACGTTAGAGAAATTTAAATAATTACACAGAAAGGTAAATTTCTAACGGAAATTAGGGGAGCTGAAACATGCTGCATGAAGACATTGGGTCACCGTCTGCTGGGCTCGATGTCAAACTCCGCAGTGTTTACCCCAAGAGTAAAAAGATGGCATTCTCCAGCAAGATAACCTACTGGTCCGAGTGCCTGCCCCCTAGTGATCAGTGCCCGTCAGAGCGAGCGGTTGGGCGGCCTTAGCATATCATTAGCATATTACACTTTGATTGGTTGAAGGGCTGACTAGAGGACTGGACACTTAGCATAGTGTTCTCTCTCACACACATACACACAGACTTAAACCCCACCTCCACCACCACCACTACCACCACTGCCGCCAAAAGAGCCCTGGGACAGGCCAGGCTGGCCACCTCGGCAGTCCCCGCCAGCACTGTGACCTCTGCTATCACTGCTCCCCTGACCTTCCAAGTTCTCCCATCTGTGAAACGGGGTCAGGCCAACCGCCCCCTTTCATAAGAATTCCCAGAAACCACAGATATGGTGCAAGGGAAGGCCAGGTGAGCACCAGCTGTCCACCGAGTGGGTACCGTCCATCGTCCCACCTAAGCCCCGGAATGTGGGGTGCATTCACGCAGGACCTCTCCCTTGCTCTTTGCAAAAAACCCACAGGTAGTAGGCAGGTACACCCAACTCCACTTCCCAGGTGAGCAAACTGAGGTGGGAAGAGCCAGCCCAACCTTGCGCCCGCCCCACACACTACATCCCCTCTACTGCTTTCAGCAGCCTCCCTGCCCTGGTGCAATAACTGTCCGTGGGCGTCTCCTACCTGCCAGGCTCTCTGCTAGGCACGGGTGGGGGGGAAGAGCTGTGTGAACAAGCCCAGGGGGCCCCTCTCTGCAGGAAATACTCACACTCCACCTCCTTCCCCTGTCTCCTCACATCCTGACACACTTAGCGAGCACCACAGGTCCAAGCCCCGCCACAGCTGCTTAACGCTGTGCGCCCCTGTAACTCACAAGTGCTCTGAGCTAGTTCTGCATTATTCCCTGTTGACAGCCGAGGACCCTGAGCCACAACGAGGTCTCCGTGCCGTTGGGGGCGAACCTGCACCCACACGCCGTGGTTCTGGCCCGAGGTCCCAGCTCTCACTCACCCGCCCTGAGGCCCCCCCTCTCGGGACCGAGCCCCCCGACCCCGAGCAGACAGGAGCCTGTCCCCCTGCGCAGGGACAGCCCAGCGGGCAGCCAGCCTGAGCCCAGCCCAGCCAAGCGCGGGCAGCGTCCGCTCTGCCCAGCGCAGAGAGGGATTCGGTTTTAAAACCGGGAAGAGCCGGTCCCTCTAAGCCCGGGACTCCTTCCACTCCCCGGAGCACGAATCCGATCCGAATGGGTGGCCTCCTCCCGCGCCGATAGGCACCCGGAGGGGGAAACGCAGGCACCGCACGCCGCCCCTTCCCTCCCTCCCGGCGCCCGGCTCCCCGGGCCGCACCTCGGAGCCGCCGCCCTCACCTCTCAGCCGGCGTCCGCCAACGGTTCCAACCGGCCGCGGAGCACGTGGGACCGCCGGCCGCTCGCCCGCCCGCCCGCCCAGCGCCGTCCCCGCCTCGGCTCCCCGGCGCAGGATTCGGTTCTGAGCCGCCCTGCGCATGCGCGCCGCGGCCACGCCCCCCGGCGGAAGTGACGACACCGGAAGCTGGGAGGCGGGTCCGGGCTGCGGAGGGGGCGTTGTCGGGATGCTTCCGCAGCCCCGGGAGCCCCGCGAGCGGCTCTGCGGGCGGCGCGGCGGGTGAGGAGGCGGCGGCGGGGCCGGGAGCGGCGGCCGAGGGTAAGGGGGCCGCGGGGCCGGCCGGCGAGGGCGCGCGGGGGCCGCCGGGGGGAGCGGCCCGCGAGGAGGCGGGCGGGGCCGGGCGCCGCGAGGGCCGGCGGAGACCTGCGGGTCGTGCGGGTTCAGCCGGGTGTCGCCGTCGCCTGGTGCCGCTGCTTCGGCCCGGAACCCCGCCCGCTCCCCGCCGGCCCCCGCCCGGCCTAGTCCTCGGAGCTGGCGCCGCGGAGCGCTCCGCCGCGGGGCTGCCGCTTCTGCGGCCCTCGGACCGGCTGGCGTGCCGTGCTGGTCGCCGGGTGTGGAAGCCGAAGGGGTGTGAGCAGAGATGTCCCCAGGGCGGCTTTGGCCGGCGGCGAAGTGTCCGGCCTGGAAGAGAAGGCGTATTCCCCGCTGGAGCTGCCCTCACAGAACACCACAGACGGGGCGGCCCAAACCACAGACTCTGGGAGTGAGGAGCCCGAGTGGTTTCTTCCTAGGCCGCTGCTCTTCTTGGCTCGTGGGCCCCCCGCCCTGAACTGCCCTCCCCTGGTCTTTCCTGGGCAGGAGCATCCCTGGCGGCTCTGTGTCCACTTTCCTCCTCCTCCTCTACGGGCATCAGGCAGCCTGGATTAGGGTTTTAACTTAATCACCCTTTTAAAGCCGCCCCCTCCCCCCCATCCGCAAGCACACTGCTGGGGGTTGGGGCAGAGGCTGCTCAGATTCCAGGGGGGAGACAGCCTCACTTCCCTTGGAGGAGTGAAGACTTGTGACCATCTGCCGCCTGCAGGTGCCTCGCTGTCCCCGTCCACAGAGTGAGGGTGACAGTTCAGCCTCTCTTACTGTGACTCTGTTCTTAAGTGAGGTGACTTGTAAAGAAAGGGCTTAGGATAGTGCCTGTCAGCATACAGGAAACATTTTATACTTATTTGTTGTTATCGTTTTATTAAGTATATACATTGTTACTTATAGTTGTTACACATAGGACACATCCTATATAATAAAGAGCTAGTATGCAAATGGTATCACGCCCTCATGCCTTAATGGCTCAGATATTCAACACTGGGGAGAGAGGAATGGGGACTGGCCAGGCACAGATGAGCTCACGAGAGAGGAATGGGGATCAGACAGGCTGCTGCCCAGGAGAGGGACAAGCCACCTGCCCTGCAGTCCCGGGTGCCAGCAGCTGTGGCCCAGGCGAAACTGCCCACCCACGGTCCCCTGTGGCTGTCGCCGGCCCATGTCCTGGGTCCCCAGTGTGGGGTGAGGCAGAGGCAGTTAAGGGCAGTCAGGCCAGCAGGGGAGCAGTTAGGGGCTATCAGGCAGGCAGGCAGGCAGAGGTGGTTAGGGCCAATCAGGCAGGCAGGTGAGCAGTTAGGAGCCAGTGGTCCCGGATTGCGAGAGGCAGTCAAACATCCCCCCAGACTGGAGAGTGTGCAGGCCGGGCTGAAGGACCCTACCCCAAACCACCCCCATGCACAAATTTCATGCACCAGGCCTCTAGTAAGAAATATAAATTACCAATTCTTTTTCTTAGAGGCTTTTTATAAGGCACTTACAGGATTAACGTGGTGAAACTATTAGATTTAAACTATTTTTATTGATTTCAGAGAGGTAGGGAGAGATAGAAACATCAATGATGAGAGAGAATTACTGATTGGCTGCCTCCTGCAAGACCCCCATTGGGGATCAAGCCTGCAACCCAGGCATGTGCCCTTGACCAGAATCAAAACTGGGACCTTTCAGTCTGCCGGCTGACGCTCTATCCACTGAGCCAGACCGGCTAGGGCAGATTGATTATATTTTTTATTGTCAAAGTAAACTATGGAGTAGTTCATGATTTTGCAGATCATCATAATTCCGAGGGTCATTCCAAAGAATTGTTCCCTTGTCACCTCTGTATAGGTAGAAAATGCCCAGTGTCCATTCAGAACGTTTGCTGCATTTCAGCATTGAAGTCTGGAGGCGGGATTTGTGTTGTGTTTTATAACATCCTTTTCTTCATAGGCAAAAGCATCGCCCATGAGCAGGGACTGCCGGGTTTAGGAACCAGGACTTAAGTGCTGGCATTGGAACATAAGTTTTATGTTCATGGGCGTGTTACTTAAACTCCCATTTCTTAATTTCCTGACTTATAAAATGGCCGTAGTGGTTCTTAGTGCATGTTTGAGTTGACGTATGTAATATGCTTAGCACAGTGCCGGCCTGTAGTAAGCAGTCAATAAGTGATACTAATCCTATAAGCCAGGAAGCCTTTTCTCTCCTGGCAGCCACTGTGGTAGGGTGGAGGACGGATGACTCGGTCATTAGGCTGCTCTAGAGGCTTCAGCACTAGGGACAGTGCCCCACCGCCTGACAGAGGCCCCTTCCCGTTTCCCCGCTGGGAAATATCCACTCCCAGTGCTGTGTGTGGCTCTTTGTAGATGACATTGCCTCTCGTCGCGGCGTCCTCTGAACACCGCCCTGATCTCAAACCAGGACCCCGAATCCACCTGCAGAAACTGAGCTTTCCATAAAGAAACGAGAATCAGAACAGGTGCCAAGCTGAGGGCAGATAATGGGGGATAAGTTTTGGAGATTCCTAGTTGTGGGCTCATACAGTTACAGATGTTCAGCAGAAAGTTGGACATTTGCAACTGGTGGTTGGAGTTAAAGTTTCAAATTTAGGACTTGTCTGCTTAGAGCAGATGAAGGCCGCAGATAGATGCGATTGTCAAGGGCCAGCGAAGACAGCTCAGTGCTGAGAGTTAAGAGACAGTAACCTTTGGGGGCTGGCAGGGGAGGAAGTACCGCAGGTTAGGGCTGTAGTAAGAGGAGCAGAAGCGTTCTAGGGACATTTTTATCTTCACAGGCAGTTCCACTGAACAGCACTGGTTATGATGCTTAAGAAACTACTTTTTTGTTTGCATGTTTGTTTTTTAAGCTGCGGTGACAGAGACTCATGACAGTGAGCCACAGATCAGTCCAGAGACTTGGTGCCGTCTAGTTCCCTGTCTTGTCATCGAAACTCATGTTTTATGTGCGTCCGTGTGCAGGTCTGAATGCCCGAGCATGGACCCGGTGGCCACGCACAGCTGCCACCTCCTGCAGCAGCTGCACGAGCAGCGCATCCAAGGCCTGCTCTGCGACTGCATGCTGGTGGTGAACGGCGTCTGCTTCAAAGCACACAAGAATGTCCTCGCAGCCTTCAGCCAGTACTTCAGGTGCCATTTCAGCCTTTGTTCTTCTCACTGTACAGAGTGTGTGTTTTTATTGATTTTAGAAAGAGGAAGAGAGAGAGAAAAACATTAATCAGTTGCCTCCCTCCCGTATGCACCCTGGCAGGGGATCAAACCCACACCCTGGGCTGTTTGGGGAAGCGGGTGACTGTATCTGATAAAATGTCTCCCACAACGTTGCAAGACAACTTACCTACCTTAGCTCGGTATTTTACACCATACAGATTCCTTCCCCGGGGAATCTGACTGGTGCCCAGAATAAAGTGTGTGGGCTTTATGGAAGTGTGCCCCTTTCCCTCATTAACTCAGAGGGCTTTTCTCACTGCTGATGTGTGGACCATTGGGTTGCTAAAGGAACGACTGAGTGCAAAATGAGTGCTCAGGGTCCTGGAGCAGTCACATACAGTGAGAGAAGGCAGAATGGTGGTGCCAGGGGTGGGGAGAAGAGTGGGAGTTGGCGTCTAATGGGAACAGAGTTTCTGTTTGGGATGATGAAAGGTTCTAAGAATGAATGCATAAAGGTGATGGTTGCACAGCATCGTGAATGTACTTTATGCCACTGAATTTACCATTTGAACCATAATGAAATGTTTAATATTAGGAAATTTTTTCACAATTAAAAATTAAGATTAAAAAAGTTAGTGTAGCCCAGCTGGTGTGGCTTGATGGTTGAGCATAGACCTATGAACCAGGAGGTCACCATTGGATGCCTGGTCAGGGCACATGTCCAGGTTGCAGGCTCAATCCCCAGTAGGGGGCATGCAAGAGGCACCTGGTCAATGATGTTTTTACCTCCCCCTCCCTTTCTGAAATAAATAAAAATGTATTTAATAAACAAAATGAATGTATACTGAGGGTTAGTTTATTATAGCTATTTTTATTTTTTTAGACTTTTTAAGGCCATTGGATATGAAAATATTTTTATATGTGTTTTATGCCTAAAATAAAATACATGATTTGTGTGCACATTTCATTGTCTTGTTTTCTCTTTATGACAAGAGAAAAGGTATTTCTTTTTTTTTTTTTAATGTATTTTATTGATTTTGTACAGAGAGGAAGGGAGAGAGATAGTTAGAAACATCGACGAGAGAGAGTCATCAATCAGCTGCCTCTTGCACATCCCCTACTGGGGATATGCCCGCAATCAAAGTACATGCCCTTGACCGTAATCGAACCCGGGACCCTTCAGTCCCCAAGCCGACGCTCTATCCATTGAGCCAAACCGGTCTCGACGAGAAAAGGTATTTCTGATGTGCTAAACAAACCTGTGGAGGTAAATTAGCAGCATGGCTTGCCTTAGCCATTCTGTCAGTCACCTTCAGACAAGTATTCAAAAAATAATTAAAAAAAAATTTTTTTTTTAAATACATGATTTGTCAGACTACAAACAGGAAGTAGTGAAAAATTCGTGTCCTTTAGTTTTCTGTACTCTATGTACTATTGATGCATATGGATAATTACAGTTGTTAAAAGAGCTATGAGTATATTGCAAAATCTTCCTTGGATATCTACTTGGAAGTTTGGGTATTCATCATATTCGCTTATCTGAATCGCTTTATTGGATGACTTGCCAGATTTTTAAAAAGGGGTTAAAGCTCACTTACTTATAAAATTCTGGCATTTATAGAAGAAATGCAGTTTTTAATATTGGTATGCATGTTATTTGTAAGAGCAAGTTAAGAGCGTGTATGAATTGTTAACACTGAAACGGGCATCCTTGTTTTATCAGGAGCCTCTTCCAGAATTCTCCCGGCCAGAAGAACGACGTTTTCCACTTGGACGTTAAGAATGTAAGCGGCATCGGGCAGATCCTGGACTTCATGTACACGTCTCACCTGGACCTGAACCCGGACAATGTGCAGCTGATGCTGGACACGGCGCAGTGCCTGCAGGTCCAGAACGTCCTCAGTCTGTGCCACACGTTCCTAAAGGCAGCCCCTGCGGAGCAGCCCCCCGGCGTGCCCTGTAGCGGCGCGCTCTCCCTGCAGGGCGCTCTGGCCCCGGACACCAGCTGTGCTCTCAGCGAAAGCTGCTCTCCTCCCTCCCTGCCGGCCTGTGCGGCAGACGGCCAGCACGGTAAGGCCTCGGACGAGCCGCACTCGCAGGCGCCGCCGGCCAGTCACCTTCATCCCCCTGCAGGCGAAGCATCAAAACTAGGCCCTGACACTTTAGACGGCAGCTGCACAGAACTGCCGCTCAAGCAGCCAAATTACTACTACAAACTCAGAAACCTGTACAGCAAGCAGTACTATAAACACGCCGCTTGTCCCAGCCACGAGAGAATCGCCGAGCAGCCTTTCACTGTCAGCCCCTCCACAGGCCCGGCTGCCGTGGAGAACCAGCCGTGTGCTGTCAGCCATTCCGAATGCGCCCTGCAGTCCGCGGAGCCCCTGCCTCCCAGCTTCCCCGCCCAGCCCCTGGGGGAGCCTGCCCCGGACCCCAAGTCAGACAGCCCGTGCCAGCCACCCCCCAGACAGATGAGGCTCAAAAAGGCCGTTCACCTCAAGAAGCTCAATTTCCTGAAGTCACAGAAATCTGCAGAGCAGATGGCTGAGCCCACGGCGGATGAGGGTCTAACCCAGAGGACTGGCCCTGCTGGTGACACCACAGAGAAAGCCGGCAGTCAGAGCGCCGGGGAGAAGGGACAGGAAGAGCCCGGCAGTGCCGACAGCTTTCCCTGCATCGTCAAAACGGAGCGGCCTGAAGACCTGGAGGCTGCCGAGGACCCGTCCCAGATGCCGCAGTCCCCGTGGCAGTACGCGTGTGACCTGTGTGGGAAGCCTTTCAAACACCCGAGCAACCTGGAGCTTCACAAACGGTCCCATACAGGTACACGCACATGACCCGGTGCCGCGGGCCCGGACAGGGAGCGCGCAGACCACACCGTGCCTGCCCCTCTTTGTAAGAAGTTTCGCTATTGCTTTGACATTTGCAATCAAGATTGCTACTTTTTAATTCATATTTTTGGTGATGCCTCTTAAAGCATAATCTATAGATACTTGCATAGAGCTAATTTTAAAAGATGTCACACTTCATGTTTATTTTATTTAGGTTTTTATGACAAACTTTCCATCTCTAAAGATGTAAATTATTTTGATGGACTGAAATTTTCAAGTTCTAAAACAGATAAGCGATATTTAGTTGTCTCTTTAGAATTAGATTAAGTTTATTCTTTAAAAACAGAATGTAGGTCAATTCAGGCTAAAATAGTTTAGCTTGAGTAATCCTAAAAGTTCTCTGGAAAGAAATGTGAATATCAGATTTTAAAGATTGTGATTCGGGAGGTGGGAGGTAAACTTTTTAATAAGGATTTTAAAAGGATCAGCTTTAACCATTTGATATTTTCAAATGAAAGTTTTCCATTTTGAACATTGAATTTTCAGTTTTATTTCTTTAATTTATACCTCCTAGCCTTTCCAAAAAGTTTATTTTTTTCCAAAAGCTTTTTAAAAAATGTTGTACAGCACATGCACGTTACCTTATACATATGTACGTATGTATTCCTTCCTGCACTTAGACAGGAGGGCTCTAGTGCACACTGCAGGTGAATGGCAGTTACCAAATAGGCATGCGAAGTGATGGGCTACAGATGCTTCCAGTAACTGCTTTCAAGATGTTTGTGCCACTGCAATTATTGGTGTGACACTCTGCCGTCACTGATTCCTGGTGTGTCTAGGTGTTGACCATCCCAGTGCATTGTGGAGAGAGACTTACTTAAATATTCATGAAAGCTCATTATAAATTGTAGTGTATTTGAATATATCAAGTATCACCTTTATTGTTAGTAGTAATAATTATTACGGGTCTAGTAATAATTAATGTCGTTTTTAAACATTCGTTTAAAATCTTGCTTGGCGTTGACTTGTATTGACATAATCTTCAAACACGTGGTATCTACAGAATGTGTGAAGTGCAATTAACAAGTTTTGCTTGAAAAAGTTTGTGTTTGGTTTGGTTTTTGTTGCAAAACTAGGGCTAAGAAGATGGCGGATGAAGAGCATATTCGGCACTGCATGCTTTATGAGTTCCAATTAGGAAGAAAAGCAAGTGAGGCTGCAAAAAACATCTGTATTGCTCTTGGTCAAGATGCAGTTAGCGCCAGAAAATGCCAGCGTTTGAGAAATTTCGCGAGGGAAATTTTTCGTTAGATGACAAGAGTGGTCGAGGCCATGTGTCCAATTTTGATCAAGAAGCTCTTCAAGCTCTTTTGGTGCAAAATCCTCAAATTACCCAACAAGAGCTTGCGACAACTTTAAATTGTTCACAGAAAACAATTTCCAATCAATTGCGTGCACTTGGCAAAGTCCAAAAGTTTGGAAAATGGGTTCCTCATGAGTTGAGCGACAACAACCGTAATCAAAAAGTCACAATTTGCAGTTCGCTCCTCTCTCGTCAAAACCGTTTGCCGTTTTTAGAGCAAATTGTTACCGGAGATGAACAATGGGTGCTGTATGTTAACTTGAAAAGGCGGCCTCAATGGTTGGACAAAAATGAGGCTCCGCAGCCCACGCCAAAACCTGACTTGCATGCGAAAAAAGTGATGTTGTGTGTTTGGTGGGATTTTAAAGGAATTCTTCATTATGAACTTTTACCATCTAACCAAACCATTACAAGTGCAGTGTATAGCGCCCAATTGGAAAGGTTAGCCCAAGCTTTAAGAGAAAAAGAACCCGCGCTGATTAATCGGAAGGGCGTAATTCTTCACCACGATAACGCACGACCGCATACTGCAAGAATCACTGCTGAAAAACTGCGCCAGTTGTTGGAATGGGAAGTTCTCCCTCAACCTGCATATTCTCCTGATATTGCCCCTTCCGATTACCATTTGTTTCGTTCTTTGCAAAACTTTCTTCTTGGAAAAAAATTTAATAATGAAGAATGCCTCAAAAATGCATTGACCAAATTTTTTGCATCAAAATCACAAGAATTTTACAACAGAGGGATTAAAATGCTTCCTGAGCGTTGGGCACAAGTAGTAGAAAACAACGGCAACTATATTGTTGATTAAATTTTGTTGTATTGTTTAAATAAATTCGATTTTAAAAAGTATTAGAAAACGACATTAATTATTACTAGACCTAATAGTAGTTCAGAAGTATTCTTCATATGAAGGCAGTATCACTGATTCAATTTCGCCCTTAATTTAGGTCATTCCATTTGCTTAAATTTCCTAGAGCCTCATGATCAGTATAATGTTTGAGAAACGTGTCTGTTTAGCTTTAAAAATTAAATGGTTCTTTTGAACAGTAATGCCATCCATTATGGCAGAGATGTTCACTTGGATGTAAATACTCTATTGAGAGAGCAGTGGTCCTCGACTTACAGTCCGAGGAGCTCTCGCAGGGTCTGTGCGGCCGGACTGTTTCTGTCACCTTGTCGGATGTTACTGGCCTGTCTGTCTTCTCCCATAAGGGCAGTGGAGTCGGCTAACGGCTGTCCTCACTCACGTGGCCAGTGAGATGTCTGGTCACGGGTTAAAATCACTCGTCTTCATTTCTAATGTGGACGTGCTGACGGATGTAGCCCGCATAAGCACATGCTTCAGGTTCTCAGTAAGAGTGTGAAGGGATCCTGAGAGCAGAGCGTTTGAGAACCACTGGAGGAAGGTTGTCAGTTCTGGTCCCTTGGGGTCTTAATAACCAGCAGCCTCTTTTTCAAACTCCTGGATCGCATAATGGGGGCTTTAACTTAGCATTATTCTCCCCATAATTTCCGACATAAATGTCCCAAAATACAGAAGTAATATGATTATAATTATTCAGTCAAAAGCTTTCTGCCTGCTCCAGAAAGAAGCCATTAAACAGGAGCCCAGCAAGCTAGCAGCCAGCAATGTTGAAGGAAGGGGTGTTGTCATTGTTAAAAGAGAGTGAACCACTTGTGGGAAGGGGAGGGTGGAACAGAAGGTTCTTGGTCTGCCAGCCTGTTTATTAGTTACCTAGGTTCAAGGTGGCACCTGGAAGTAGACTGTTAAAATGATCATTTTCTAGAGACTGTATGCGGGGCTGTGTGATTTCTTGGCAGAGTTCCATTCTCCGCAGGTTATTCTATACCAAAGTGTAATTACTTAGAGTTTCTAAAATCAGATGTGGCTCCCATAATGTCCTTTTGTTTTCCCCTGGGGGCATGATCAGCCACGGCCAAAGGCAGGGGAAGGGCTGTGCCGTGTCCACACCTCCCATGTGTGAAGAGACTCCAGTTCTCTCAAGAGCTGGTGGGAAAGTGAAGGAGTCGGGCTGAGGGACTGTAAACAGGTACAGGCCCTTCAGCAAAGAAACTCATGGTTGATTTTTAAGCCCAAAACCTAGGCAGGGTTTGAATGCTAACAAGTTAAGTTTGACTTCAACATAGGTTTATATTTGGAGAACAATTTGATTTTTTAAAAATATGTTTTTATTCACTTCAGAGAGGAAGGAAGAGGGAGAGAGAGAGAGAAACATCAGTGTTGAGAGAGAATCATGGATTGGCTTCCTCCTGCACACCCCACATGGGATCGAGCCCACAACCTGGGCACGTGCCCTGGGCTAGAATCGAACCCGGGATCCTTCAGTCTGCAGGCTGATGCTCTATACACTGAACCAAACCAGCTAAGGCACAGTTTGATTTTTTTAGAGAAAACTAATCACAGATTTCAGTGTATCATCCCTGCCCACTATCTAGGGGCAAGAGATGGGGAAGAGATGTGGACTCCTGTTTTCATACACATGATGAGGAGCGTAGTCTCTGCTTTAAATGGTGGGCACGGGATAGTTTAAACATTTTAAATAGTAGTTGGTTGCAGATAATACAAATGATTTTACCAGCTGTTGTTTTGCTTTGTTTTAGGTGAGAAACCTTTTGAATGTAACATTTGTGGGAAACATTTCTCTCAGGTGGGAATACTTTTATTTATTGTTAATAATTGGAAACCTGAAACCTAGTGTTGATTTTTATTGTAAACCGGAGGCCCAATGCACGAAGATACGTGCAGGAATGGGCCTTCCTTCCCCTGGCTGCCAGCACTGCCTTCGCTCAGGCCAGAGCTCCCTTTCCACCTTCTCAGACTGCACAAAGGCCTGTAGCAGCTGGGGCAGTGCTGAATGCCTGCGTCATCACCATGGTAACGATGCAAGCACCCCGCCCTGCCCCTGGCCGTTTGGTGCCTGTGTATGCAAATTAACCTGCCATCTTTGTTGGGTTAATTTGCATACTCCTGATTGGCTGGTGGGCATCGCGAAGACATGGTCCATTTGCATCTTTCTCTTTTATTAGTGTAGATTAGTGGCCCAGTGCACAAAATTCGTGCACAATAAAAGGGGGGAAATAATTCAATATTGCTATTTGCCCTTCCTCTATAATAGACGTGTCAGAGATGAAAGAAAATTAGTAAAATGTATATGAAAATCTTTCTCTGTCCGAGTTGGGCATGCTGTGGGATCCAGAGTCAAGTCCCTGCCCATTCACGGAGCCTCAAAATCTTGAGAGACCCAGACCCAGCTAGACCCACCCCGTCAAGCCCTGCCAGACGGGGTGGCAGCCTCAGGTCTTCCAGTGCCAGGACAGGGGATGCAGATACCAGGTGGGGGGCACAGCCTTGGGTCCCCCTGTGCCAGGATGGGGGTGCAGCCTGAGGTCCCTCGGCCTGGCACCAGGGTGGGTGGCATGACCTAAGGTCCCCTGGCCTGGCACCGGGGCGGGGGGCACGGCCTAGGGTCCCCTATCAAGTCCCGCCAGGCAAGGGGCACAGCCTGAGATCCCCCGTCAAGCCCCTCCGGGCCTAGGGCACAGCCTCAGGTATCCTGGCGCTGGGGTAGGGGGCGAGGCCTGAGGTCCCCCAGCCCAGGGTGAGGACTCGTGGCCCTGCACAGGGCAGGGGGCATACCTGGAGGTCCCCCGTCAAGCCCTGCCAGGTCTCCTGTCAAACCCTGCCGGGCACGGGGGCACAGCTTAGGTCTCCTGGCCCAGCATAGGGTTGGGGTGCAGCCTCAGATCTGGCCAGGGCAGGGGATGATCTGAGGTTGCCCAGCCTGGTGCTGGGATGGGCAGCATGGCCTGAGATCTCCTGTCAAGCCCCACCGGGCAGGGGCACAGGCTCAGTCCCTTGCTCCGGCCCAGCACCATGCAGCCTCAGGTCCCTGCTGATTGCTCCTTAAGGCTCGTTATGGGAACTCAGCCTCCACTGTGGGTGCAGCTATCTTGTGTTACAGAAATGCTGCCTCTGCTGTGGGCGCCGCCATCTTTGTGACCGTGTGATGGTCAATTTGCATATTCCCTCTTCATTAGATAGGATAAGAAAGGCATTAGAGTTGTGAGGGAAGCCTCTTAAGGTATCTGTAACTTAAACACTCAATTTTACCTGAATTTTTCACTATTTAATCTACTTTTATATCATTTATTAGACTAATATGTGCCCCTTTTTGTGTGAAAAGATAATTATTTCCATTATTCATTTCCACTATTAAATATCTAAAGAAACATTTAAAAATTTTTACTGTGCTTATTATAATATTGAGTGTAAGACGATTTGATTATATTTACTTGGAAAATAAGCAATTGTTATGCTTGACTTAAAGAGGGAACATGCAGCATTGCTAGGAATGATTCAGAGACAATTTCCATCTTAATACATAGTTTACAAAATAGCTAGAAAGGAGGGATCTCATTTAACAGCTGGGCAGACAATGCTGTTTGAATTGTTCCATGACTGATGAGCTTTTCTGAAATTTGGAAGTGACTTGTAACTCCAGCAAGCTGTTTCCTTAGGGCAAAGTGACTTTGTCACACTGAGTGTTCAACACAAGCCAGGTTAGCCAGAGACATGTGCTGTCCTCGGGTTTTTCGCAGGTAAGATGGCAGCTCACACACGGCATTTAATCCTGGCCCCGCCAACTAACGAGCGCCCACCTTAGCTGAACCTCGTTTTCATCTAGAAAATAGATTTCAATGCCAATCACTAATGGTAATGTGATAATGTGTGTGAAGGCCTAAGTAGACCAGATATACATTGCTACCCTGTTTCCCCGAAAATAAGACAGTGTCTTACATTAATTTTTTCTCCCAGAGTTGCGCTAGGTCTTATTTTCAGGGGATGTCTTATTTTCGGGGAAACACGGTACTAGCATTTGTCGCTTCATGCTATTTTTAAAAAAATATTTGTATTGACTTCAGAGAGGAAGGGAGAGAGAGATAGAAACATCAATGATGAGAGAGAATCATTGATCAGCTGCCTCCTGCACACCCCTCTCATGTGCCCTGACCAGGAATTGAGCCGGGATCTCTTGGTTCATAGGTCAACACTCAACCATTGAAGATAGGATGTAACCCAGTGTTTCTCCGTGTCTGACAGACAGAGAGACTTCCATGTCATAACAGACAATCTCAACCTGTTTGAATTGTTACATGAATGATGAGCTTCCTGTTTCTGTTCCTATATGTTTTACAATTCCACCCATAGGTGGACTTCAGACCCATTTCAAACCTGTCATCATGGACTGTCTTTTGCATTTAATTTTTTTTTTTTTAAGCTGCAGATTTAGCCCTTGCTGGTGTGGCTCAGTGGATAGAGTGTTGGCCTGCAGACTGAAGAGTCCCGGGTTGATTCCTGTTAAGGGCACATTCCCCATTAGGGCAAGTGCAAGAGGCAGCAGATCAGTGTTTCTATCTCTTCCTCTCCCTTCCTCTCTAAAATCTATATGTATAAAGGCCTAATATGCAAATTGTCCCCTCGGGAGTTCGACCAGGAGACTGGGAGCTCAATCACTTGCTGTGATGTGTGTTGACCATGGGGGCAGTGCGGAACAAAGGGAGGCCCAGCTGGCAGCTGGAAGGCTCCAATTGGCCCTGATCGCCCGCCAGGCCTCGGGACCCTACCCATGCCCTGAATTTCGTGCACCAGGCCTCTAGTAAAAAATATGTATTTTTTTTAAATGCAGATTTACAAAGCCAGGTGTGTTAGTTGGTATTACTATTCACTCCCCCTTCTTGGCTTATTCTGTGCATAATGCCTGAGCATTGTTTCCGTGGGTAACCTCGCTTATTTCAGTGTTTGCTTTTAACAGAACCCTATAAAAAATTAAGTAGGGGTGTGACAGACCAAGACTGCTAACTGAAGTCTCCGCAGTGGGAAGTGCTGCCTCTGCGTCTGAGCTGGAAGCAGTAGCCGGGGTGCTTAACGTCTGAGGCATCTGCAGTCTCAGCCTCGCTGCAGGCAGTTTCATATTGATGGCCTATGCCAGTGGTCGGCAAGCAGGGCTCAAGAGCCACACGCGGCTCTTTGGCTCCTTGAGGGTGGCTCTTCCACAAAATACCACGGCCTGGGCAAGTCTATTTTGAAGAAGTGGCGTTAGAAGAAGTTTAAGTTTAAAAAACTTGGTTCTCAAAAGAAATTTCAGTCGTTGTACTGTTGCTATTTGGCTCTGTTGATTAATGAGTTTGCCGACCACTGGCCTATGCTGAGTACTGGCAGCCTGCTGGTGTCAGAAACCAGGAGCCGGAGTCCCTGCCGTGGAGGGCTGCAGTGACTCCTGACTTCATTTCTGCACACAGGACGGCGTCACAGCCCGCCGCGCAGAGCAGCCGCTGCGGAGGGGGTCATGCTGGGGAGGTCTGGCCTTTCTAACCAAGCGTGCTTCTCAGGGAGAAGCCAGATGCAAGCGCTGCTGCTGCTCTCCAGTGCCGCTTGCATAGAGACGGTCCACATTTAAAACTATATGAAATAACACATCGAGGTCTGTTTGAAGCACAAGTGTGGCAGCCTCCACCGCACCTGCACTGAGCCGCCCGTCTAAGAGAAGCGGCCCAGCGCAGGCCTGCGATGGCACAGCAGATGCAGCCCTTGGCCCAGGAGCAAACAGAGGGCGGCACCCCCGTTAGAAGTGGGCGGTCCTTCCTCTTGCCTGTGGCTCCCTCTGCGTTGTGTGTCTAGTCTCCCTGGGAAGGTGGACTGGGACCTGATTGGGTCTGCCAGTCTTCCATTCAAATGGATGGGACCTGTTTTTCAAAAACCCTTATATTACTGGCATGCTTTTGCTTCTCCTTTTTTGCAGGCAGGTAACTTGCAGACTCACTTGCGTCGGCATTCTGGTGAAAAACCCTACATCTGCGAAGTCTGTGGCAAGAGGTCAGTGCCGGGCTGTCCCCCGCCTGCAGGGACCCCTCTGTCTGGTCCCCGTGGGAAGCAGTGCGCAGCGGGCTCGCACACGAGCCGCGTGGGACTCACTCCACAGAGGAGCGCAGGCCCGTCAGACCCTCTGCGGAGCTTACATGTGACACATGAGCAACAAAGGGTCAAGGACGGCCGTGCAGAGAAGGGACACCCAGGACAGAAGTCTTAGAAGTGGGATTTTACATGGCACAGTGCTTTAACACTGAAATGTCCATTCTCTCTAAAAGTGGCCCACAGAGGTGAGTGCCTCGCAGGGCTGTGAGCCTTGCAGCCTGGCTGCCCGGCCCGGCCTCAGGCCGTGGGACCCGGCAGCGGAAGGCAGGCGGGGCTCAGCCCAGGGCACTCGGCGAAGTCTCACTGGGCAGTGAGGAGAGGGTCCCTCCGGCGTGCACACAGCCACACGCTGGCCTGCCCCCCTCTCAGGGGTCAGGTATCGGAGTCCACTGCTCTCCCCTGACGGTCACGCTGGACACCAGGCACCAGCCAGGACCGTACCAGTCACATGGCTTTAGAGCCGTTCATTTCGCCGTCCATCCAGGCAGCGCTACCTGCCCTGTGAGGGCTATGACGGCCCCATGCAGAGTCTGAGGCGGGAGGGAAGCGGCCCTGGTGCAGCCAGTCGCCTGTGCAGGAAGCGGGCCTCGGTGGGGACACCAGGGGGCTGCCCGTGACTCAGTCCCAGAAAACAGGTGTCTCTGCAGGTGGTAGAAACACATTAAACCTTCCCAGGCTCACGTGCCTCCCTGTTGTCATTCCCCTAGGCAGTGGTCGGCAAACTGCGGCTCGCAAGCCACATTCGGCTCTTTGGCCCCGTGAGTGTGGCTCTTCCACAAAATACCACATGTAGGCGCGCATGTACAGTGCGATTGAAACTTTGTGGCCCATGCGAAGAAGTCGGTTTTCGGCCTGGGCGGATCTACTTTGAAGAAGTGACGTTAGAAGAAGTTTAAGTTTAAAAAATTTGGCTCTCAAAAGAAATTTCAATCGTTGTACTATTGATATTTGGCTCTGTGCTAATGAGTTTGCTGACCTCTGCTCTAGGGTGGTGGGAGGGAACACGCCTGGATTTCCCATCCCAGGCCTGAGCGGGAATGGCTCCCTAAGCTGAGCCATTGGTGGCCATCTCTGAAGGAGATTGATGCAGCAAGGTGGGAAAAGTGTTCGACAAACAACCCTGCACTATTTTCTGCGTTCCTTCAAAGGGGGGAAGGGAAAGATACTTTAATGCCCGTTCCCATGAAGCCGGGCGCTCTGATTACACCCGGAGGCGGACAGGCTCTCAGCTGCATTTCCCGTGCCTCGCAGGTTCGCAGCCTCTGGGGATGTCCAGCGTCACATCGTCATTCACTCGGGCGAGAAGCCGCACCTGTGTGACACCTGTGGCCGAGGTGGGCTGCGCTTTGCTTTTCTTTCTGGAGGCACTGCCGGGGTGCGGCCCTGCGCTGACCCGGTCGTGTCTCTCAGGCTTCAGTAACTTCAGCAACCTGAAGGAGCACAAGAAGACACACACGGCGGACAAAGTGTTCACCTGTGACGAGTGCGGGAAGTCCTTCAACATGCAGAGGAAGCTGGTGAGGCACCGGGTCCGGCACACAGGGGAGCGGCCCTACAGCTGCACGGCCTGCGGTGAGTGGTCACAGACCAGGCCGCCGGTCCCCTCCCCTCCCCTCTCGCCCCGTCCCGTCCCGTGTGGTAACTTTGGACGGGCCCAGGGCCACACTGTCCAGAGAACCGTTTGCCGAGACAAGGACGCAGTTCTAACTGCTGGTCTGGTGACCACCGGACTGGAAATTACAAACCTGGCTGAGAATTAGTGGCACTAAGGTAGCTGGGCTGCACCAGTAGCAGCGCCTTCCCTCCGTGACGTCACTTCCCCTTCCCTTTCTCACACACACCCTGCCTCTGTCCCCCATCAGAACACAGGCAGGCTTCTGCCTCTCGGTGCCTCCTGAGTTCTTAAGGGATCTCAATTAAATGCCAGTTGCCTCTTGCTTTGAAAGGCCTTTTATTTTTGGGTTAACAGAAAAGTCCCCAGAATATAACACGTGGGCATCGACATCTAGTTTGTTCAAAGGCAGTGTTTTTAGACAGCCCACCTTTGCTTGGCCAGGGCTGGAGAGCCGAGAATGCAGATAGAGTGACATGCAGACGAGGGAGCAGTGAAACATCCGTGTACATACGTGTGTAGTGCTCACTCCTTTGTAATGACATTAGGACTTCTATAAGGTTATTGACCCCTTAGCAGCCCTGACTGTGGGAACAAACCCCGCCTGATGCTGTGCACAGGGAAAGGAACTGGAACCGGGGACAGGGGCAGAGATGTAGTGAGAGCTGCGCGCACAGAGGCCATGAGCAGTGTTTCCTGTGATGGACCGGCTGCTCTGGGTTCGCAGAAATTTAAACAAAACTGGCAGGGTTTCCCAGCACCCAACAACCGGCAGGGTGGGCAGCTGCCAGCAGGGCTCCTGTGCAGGCAGACAGGGTCCAGGAGGCCGGCACCGAGAGGCCCACACCCAGGGGCCGGAGGGGAGTCTGGCAGAGTGGGTGGCGGCAGGCTCCACTCTGAGACGACCCCTCTCTCCACGCAGGGAAGAGTTTTGGGGGGTCCGGGGACCTCCGCAGGCACGTCCGCACGCACACCGGGGAGAAGCCGTACACGTGTGAGATCTGTGACAAGTGCTTCACCCGCTCGGCCGTGCTGCGTCGGCACCGGCGGATGCACTGCCGCGCGGACGACGGGGGCCCGGACGCGCTGCGGGAGCTCGCCCACGCCATCCGGGCCCCCAGCCTGGACAGGGCCCCCGGCTCCGACGCCTTCCCCCAGGACGTGTCTGTGACTCTGCTGCCCGTGTCCGTGAAGCTCCCCGTCCCCCCGGGGGACGAGCCCGAGACAGACCTGGACGGCCACTCTGCCGGCTCCTGCTGTAAGTTCCGGGCCACGCCCCAGCCACGGGGGGCCGGCCACCCGGAGAAGCCCGCCGCGGATCCTGGCAAACTCGCCAAGGCCCCTGGGCAGCTCTCACAGCCTCAGGCCTTCGCTTTCTCGGCCGCCGACGCCTCCACCGGCGACGGGCCGCTGCCCACGGACAGCACGGCCACCGCCCGCCCCTCTCTGGCCACGCTGGACAACCACTGCGGCGGCCCCCCGGGCGGCCGGGCGGCGGGCGCGGGGCACAGGAGCGCGGACGGGCCCTTCTCCGGCATGGCCCTGTGGGGCTGGCCATGAAGACGCTGCAGAACGAGGGCGAGCTGGACCGGTGACGCCGCGCCTCTGCCAGCGCCAGCCATGCTGGTGCCGGGCGCCGAGCCCGGTGATGCCAACGCTGCATGCTGCTCCGCCGCGGACGCTGTGTCCAGGAGGCAGCGTCCCCTGCGCGCCCTCTCACCGCCGGACACGGGGCTCAGGTCCTTCCTGATTGGCCGGTAAATGGAAGCCGCCGGAGCACCCTGGCTCACTGTGGGAGCAGACACTACAGTGGGAGCTGGGGAGCCGTCCACCGACTCATGGCATGATGGCGTGTGGACTTCGGGGCAAATACTATACATTGTGGTCATGCTAAAGGGGAAATATATATATATATATATATATCTATATCTCCACACACATACACACACATATATGTAAAATACAAATATTTTTACGTGACTGAAATAGCATTTTCTATTTACAGATTTTATTTGTATATGAAAGTCATACTGTGATTTAATTTGAATAAATGAAACTTGCCTTGCTATCTAATGTATTTCCTCTAGCATTTTTATTACCCTAAAGACCATAGTAGTAACAAAATGAGGGGCTCCCCTTTAAGGACAGGTCCTGGCTGTCCTGGGACAGTGGGCTCCTTCACCATCAGAACGGAGCCTGTCCTGGCTGCCCCTCGCTGGCCAGGCTGCGGCGGGCTCAGCTCCGCCTTCTCTGGTCTCCTCTGCTCTGAGATGGGCAGCTCCGTTCCTCCTAGCGTCCATGACGGCTCGCCCACGGCACTGCCGCCCAGGTCCGCCGCTTGTTGGCTTCCTAAACACACACCCCTCTCCCAGCACACTGCAGCCTGTGGGACTGAGTCCTGCCCCGTGATTTCCAAACAGGACCTGCCGTGAAGAGTTACTGTGGCACAGCAGGGTTTGCCTGTAGGGCTGCACGAAGGACCAGAATGAAAGCACCCGAACCCTGTCATTTTCGCTCTGACTCAGAATCACAGGCCACGGTGAGACGGGGCGGGGTTTGTAGAAAATGGGCATGGCTGCAGGTGACAGTGCCAGCTTTGACTCCTGGTTTTCCCACCAGCCCTTGCACTCAGCCCGGCGAGGCCCAGGCAGCAGACGGAGAGCCGGGGTCAAGGGGTCACAGCGCCCTGCACAGGGCCACGCAGCCAGCTAGGGGAGAACCTAGGTCTCGTGTGAACCCGTCCCTCCTTCCTCCCACTCCCACGGCGAGGCTGGGTGTGCGGACACCCGGCTGGGACGGCAAACTGCCGGGTGCGTCCTGTGCGTTCTCATTTACCCCGGTGATGCTGTTCCATCCTGGTATTTCCTTCCAGACCTGCCTCTCCAATCACACAGATCAATGCACCACTGACACATTTGTCAGTTACTTCTTTGCCTTTTCATAGAGCAAATAGCCTTTCCTTTAAAAAAAAAAAAAAAAAAAAAGTGTTAACGTGGACACGCTGAGTCCTTGCAGACAGTTTCATTGCCCCTCCAGCCGGACGTGCTGGTAAAGACCCCGGCACAGTTCTGGGATGGCGGACAGCGCACAGCGGGGCCCCACAAACATGCTCTCTTTTCCCTGACTTGACCCAGAAACAGCCCTGCAATGGCTGTTGCGTGTGTGGTTTCCATCCAGCCACCAGATGGCGGCACAGCCCTCACCGTGAGCAGAGCCAGGGCCTGGGCACCTGCATTTTCAAAACACGGCCAGATCACAAAGCTCATTCACCCACCTGAGAAGTGCCCTGGGAACAGCGCCTGCGACCTGATGAACCCCAGGCAGACGCCCCCCACCCCTGCTCCTGACACCGGACACTGGAGGAAGCTGGCTTTCCGATCCCGAAGGGCCCTGCCATTAGCAGGGGGGACACTGGGCTCGCTGAGGGCCCCATCCTGGCTGAAAGGTGACCTGATTCTTAGCAAAAGCTCCAGGGACGAAAGCCGGGGGTGTCTGCCGCCCCATGGCTTCAGGCGCAGGTAATGGCGGCACCATCCATCTGCAGGGAACGGCTGTATCCTGAGTGGAGCAGCCAGTCCCCCCCAGCCACCCGCTCCCTCCAACGGTCCAACAGTCCCTTCTGTGGCTGGGCAGGTGCTTTCATTTCACACTCAGGGTCATTGTCGGAGTTTCAGACACAACCTCTGGAGGCCAGGATGACACAGAGCACAAAGCAAATATCTTGACCCTCCCCCTACCTCTTTACCCACCTCCGACCCCCCCTTCCCGCCTGTGAGGCAGAGGGTGGAGGCTATTTCACAAGGGTCCCTTGCTGGGACTGGGGTGTGTGTGCGAGATCGAGCCTGTTTCTGCCCTCCCAGAGCTCAGAGGGCAGAGGGGAGGCACAGACAGACCTGACCCCGCCCCCCAGCCGGCTGCCCACCCCCACCTCCCAGCTAGGCGACCTTGAGCAAGGACTTGACCTCGGTAAGCCTCTGTCTCCTTGCAGGTAGTGTGCAGCTAGCTGTTAGGGTGCCTGTCTCCTTCACTCCCATAGCCGGCGGGGTGCAGGGGTCAGAGACATCTGGAGACCCACACCGCGGCTGTTCTTCCTGCAGCGGAGCTGGCAGGGGCTGGCAGGGGCTGCAGGGGCACGGCACCTTCGGATTCTCCTGTGACTGATGGTTCAGAGCAGGGACGGATCTGGAGAGGAGTGACTGGCCCACAGCAGGGAGGGACCCGTGCCAGGCGTGACCCGGCCGGTGTGGCTCAGAGCCCACGCCGTCTTCGCATGTCCCGGCTGAGTTACCTGCCTGACCCCGGCCCACAGCACGCGGCTGCGTCGGGAGGCGAGGTGGTTGAGTGAAATGAGGTCACTAGGGTGGCCCTGATCCAATGCAACGGGCGTCCTGAGAGGATGGAATGAGGACAGACACACCCGAGGGACGGCCACGTGAGGACACGGGGAGGGCCGGACAGGACGGCCGTCCACACGCCAAGGAGAGAGGCCTGGGGGGACCAGGCTGCCTCCCCTGGCCTCAGCCTCCAGCCTGCGGGGCGGAGGGGGGGAAAGGTAAGAGGGGGACCAGCCTGCCTCCCCTGGCCTCAGCCTCCAGGCTTTGTTACTGCGCCTGAGCTGAGGACATGGGAGCCTCAGGGGTGGGGAGAGCCAGCTTGGGTGTGTGATTTCTGGCGGAGCTGGGCCTCGCTGGTCTGGGAGCTCAGGGGGAGGGGCCGGCACGGAGGGCTGCTTCTGGTCCTGACCCAGCCTCTAGCCCATAGCACCCTGAGGCGCAGGCGCAGGCGGGCTTCCTGGGAGCAGTCACCCTCTCAGCCAGCTCCGTCCCTCCCGGGACCACCCGGTGCAGCCAGGACCAGAACCTCCCTGGCAGGTACTCACATACAACACACATGGGCACTCACACACACATATACACATGTGCATAATATACGCAAAATGCAAAATCACACATATGTGCGTGCATGATAAACACGTGTGCACACGCATGCACGCCCACATGCACACACAGTCCCGGGGGCACCGAAGCTGGCTGCCACAGTGGCAGAGCAGGGGCTCCGGGTTGGGGTCTGGGCGGTGCCACAGGTGGGGAAGGGCAATGACCATGGCTGACTGCACACACCCATCTCGAGGACGCTAATCCCTGTGAAGTCAGCACAGAGCCCATCATGTGAATGCCATCGAGCGTCAGCCATGAGCATCACGTGCCTCAGAGTCATTCTGTTCCCCCACCCGCCACCCTCCCCACCACCACCCTCCCCACCTTCCTCACCGCCACCCTCCCCACTGCTACCCTCCCCACCGCCACCGACCGCCAAGGAGCAAGCATTTGGGAGCTGACCACGCCCCTTTTATCTGAGCTGTAATTCACCTGCCCTGACACTCACCACCTCAGGCACACCAGGCAGTGGGTGTATTATATTCCCGGCCCAGGCACTCTCGCTGCCTCAGTGTACACTATCTCAGCAGCACCCCTGTCCCTTCCTCCCCCCTTACATCTCCTTCCCCCTCCCTCTCCCCCATTTCCTTTCCGTCTCTGTGGATTTGCCCATTCGCAGCACCCCAGTCCAGATATGTATAGGAGGCAGCTGAGCGACGCTTCTCTCTTCCATCGATGTTTCTCTCTCTCTCTTCCTCTCTCTCTCAAATCAGTGAACACACCTTCCATTGGGCATAAAGAAAAGGACCAGAGAAAGTGGAAAGTCTGGGTGTCTGTGAGCTCTCTGGCTCTCACACACGCGCCCCCCCCCCATGACAAAACGCAACGAAAAGGTACAAAGAAACGAACCCCCTGCGTGCCCAGTGTAGCCCGCGTGCAGAAGTCCAGTTTGGCAAAGGGACCCTGCGCTTCTGAAACCCGAGTGTGCGGGCACCGCCCGAGGGCTGTGGAACCGAATCTCGGGTCCAGCGGGCCCGGGGTGGGGCCCGAGCATCCGCAGGTCTGCCTTCCAGGCGAAGCTGACGCCCCTGGTCCCGGGACCCCCGTTTGAGAGCCACGGGCCGGACTAACGCTCTCTGAGTCCCGCCCCAGCTCTGAGATGCAGGCTCCGGTGCTGGCCTGGAGGGGAGGGAGCTGCCGTCCCGGGCGAGGCTGGGCCCAGGAGCCCTGGGAGTGCCCGCGACAGCCCGGGGCAAGGACAGAGGCTCCCACCAGCAGGAGCACGCACTTTCAGCTACCAGCTTTAAGCGTGAACATTCAGGAACTCTAAGGAGCGATTTAAAAAATGTATAAGATGCTGAAACATGTGACGGGTTAAGCTCTGACGTGTAGAAGCATGAAGTGAGCGGCGGGGGCGGGGGGACTTCTGTGACGGTCTCCTTGGGCTTTCACCACGAAGGACCTCACACTGGCGGCTGAGACCTCAGGAACGCCTTCTCTGGGGTCTGGGGCCGGAGTCCAAAGCCCAGGCGTCAGCAGAGCGGCCGGGGCAGCCCCAGGCCCCCCGCCGTGGCCGCACGCCCGGCTCCGTCCACTCCCGCCTTCTCTGTGCCCCCATGTCCTCACGTTGTCTCCGGGGGAGACCCTGGACCCGTCATTGGACTTAGGGCTCATCCTGAATCCGGGATGATTTCATCCCAAGATCCGCAACCAATTACATCTTCAAAAACCCAGTTTCCAAAGTTACTCCCTGAGGTTCCAGGTGGACATGAATGTTTAGGGGACAGGATTGTGGCCTCCTCACTCTTCTTTAAACAGACTAGAGGCCCTGTGCACGAAATTCATGCAGGGGTGGGGCCCCTAGGCCTGGCCTGTGATCAGGGCCCATCAGGTTTCTCGCCTCCCGGCCTCCTCATTCCCTCCCACCCACTTCCGTCGCCACCCACTCTGGTTCCCCCTCTCAGCCTGGGGCCGGGCCCGATCAGGTGCAGTTCCTGCGTTGAGTGTCTGCCCCCTGGTGGTCAGTCGGAGTCATGGTGACCAGTCATTCCGGCTGTTCTGGTCTTCGCGTCATAATGGTTGCTTAGGCTTTTATCTATATAGATATTTTTATTGGTTTCAGAGAGGAAGGGAGAGGGGGAGAGAGATACAAACAACAATGATGAGGTGAATCATTGATTGGCTGCCTCGTGCAGG